TTGGATAATCCAAGTAGAAGTAAGTTATAAAAATGGTTTCTAAAAAAAGAGTATGAGTGAAAAGACTTTGCCTAGCTCACAGTATTTCCTAACTTTTAATGAACTAATTCAAACCCTAAACCTCCACTATGATTTTGCCTACACAACTCTGCCTCCATCATGCATCCTGCATGTCTGTGGCTTGTTCCTAGGACTCCTGTGGGTCTCCTGCCCCTCTCAGTTATTAGAAGGTGGCTCTGGTAGTGAGAAACAATGTCATTTCTCTTGAATATCCACTTTGAAGAGAAAGCACAGAAAGCATATATATTTTGCTCTTTCACACATTTTTCCTATCCCTAAGTATAGAAGATGGCTTCTTCCTCCTTCCCCTCTTTTCAACAAGGCATTTAGTGAAAGTCAAGGTTTCTAATGTTTAATCGCAACAGAACATTTAATGAGGCATTCTTAGAGTTATCAAAATACCCACTTTGTCTCACTTTGAGACAATCATTTGGGAAGCACTAAAAATAAGCATTATACTTTCCCTACATATTTGATATCCTTTCATAACTTCCCAGTAAGAGATGAACAGCCTTGACAATCACTTTCATTTTAAGTGATTATTATCTAACTAAAATTGCTTGACAACTAAGCTACTTATCCCTAAGCTTAAAAGAACCCTTTCTACACATCTTAGCAGTATATAAAATTTTTGACCATGCCAGTGTGGGGTTTGTTAACAGTGCAGATGGAAGTGCTTCTCAAGGTAACAAAGAATGTTACAATGTCTTCCTGGGTTTTGTATTTATGTGAGAGTTTGCCTCACTGTCTATTGGTCACTCATCTTCCATGGCTGCTGCTCAGGTCTCAATCAGCAATTGATTATTTCACCATGTTCTTCGCTTATTATGAATTTCACAGAATTATCGTGAACTTCACTGAATATATTGCAAATTTCAGAGAATATATGCCCATCAATTTTATCACAGAACCCATTGGGTTGGAAAAGACCTCTGAGATCGAGTTCAACCTATGACCAAATAGCACCATGTCAAATAAATCATGGCACTAAGTGCCAGGTCTTTCCTTAAACACCTCCAGGGATAATGACTCCACCACCTTCCTGGACAGCCCATTTCAATGTCTGATCACCCTTTCTGTGAACAACTTCTTCCTAATGCCCAACCTAAACCTCCCCTGCCTCATCTTGAAGTCATGTCCTCTTGTCCTGTCACTGCTTGCCTGGGAGAAGAGGCCATCCCCCACCTGGCTACAACCTCCTTGCAGGTAGTTGTAGAGGGTGATAAGGTCATCCCTGAGCCTCCTTTTCTCCAGGCTAAACAGCCACTCCTCATAGAGCACACGCTCCAAATATATCAGAGAATCACAGAATCACAGAACGTGCTGAGTTAGAAGGGACCCACAAGGATCATCAAGTCCAACTCCTACCCCTGCACAGGACCATCCCCAAGGGTGACATCATGTTCCCTAGAGTATTGTACAGGTGCTTCTTGAACCCTGTCAGGCTTGGTGCTGTGACTACTTCCCTGGGGAGCCTGTTCCAGCACTCAATCACCATCTGGGTGAAGAACCTTTTTCTAATATCTAAAAATATCTAAACCTTCCGTGACACAACTTCAGGCCATTCCCTCAGGTCCTGTCACTAGTCAGCAAGAGAAGAGATCAGTGCCTGCCCCTCCTCTTCCCCTCACAAGGAAGTTGTAACTGCAATGAGGTCTCCCCTCAGTCTCCTCTTCTCCAGGCTGAATAGACCAAGTGATCTCAACCGCTCCTCATACAGCTTCCCCTCAAGGTCCTTCACCACCTTCCTTGCCCTCATTTGGACACTCTCCAATAGCTTAATACCTTTCTTATATTTACAATTAACAATGTGCATTTATGCTTTGCTATCACTGCATAACAGAAGAAACTGGGTCAGTCCTGGCAAGATCTGAAAGTAGACTTGTAAGCAATTGTTTTCAAAAATAGGAGTTTGTTTTGGGGGAATCTATATCCACTTTTTTCCTCTTATTTTTTGAGCAACAATGGCATACAGTCATGAGCATATGGGGGTTTGGTTTGATAATTATTTTGTTTGCATGGGTTTTTTTAAAATTTTTGTTTTTTTGAGGGGTTAATTTCAAGCATCGAACTGAAGAGTTACTACTGAATTTTATGAAAACTTTTCTCTGTTCTAAGATAGCATGCCTTATAAATGAGTCGGGAAGAGTTTGCTTTTGTTTGTTTGTTTTACAGGTCTGAGATACAGATATAGAAAAAAGCTAGGATAAAATAAAGATTTGCAGGGGTATTACAGCACACAAGTTTATCCAAAGCAACTGTCCCACATATACATGTTGAGCCATCATTAATGGTAAGTTCTTGAAGAAAGCAGCAAGAGTTATACTGACTGTTTTATCCATAGGGAAAAGGCTAACCATGACAAATACTATGTGCAATGACATATTCTGTCTACACATGCACTCCCTCTGATAGTTTATAACAACAGCAAGTTGGCCAAATGAAGTGACATAACTGAAATTCCACTACTGAAGCAACTGCAGAAATGGAAAGCCCAAGAATACAGTATGTGATAACACACTAACATTACTGAACTCTGTCTTTGATGATCACTGGGATAAATATCAACCTAGTGCATGAATGTATCATTATTAGAGCTGGTCATGTAGATTACAGGGAAAATAACATTTTTATTTTCTCCAAAACAAATGCCCTGAGCAATGTCATCTCTTCCAAAGTAACTGAACTTGCCACTGTCTGACAGGTGGCTTAATGTTTCCTATCATGCCTGCTTATTTGTCCTCTAATATTACCAGTTATGTTTGTCCAGCTCACCAAACCTGTGGCTTTCCAAGACAAGCTTCCCTTTTCAGATGACCCTACTATATTCTTGCAGAGGTTTTTTGGTTTGGTTAGGTTTTCTTGGAGCTGATGTTTTTGTTTTTTAAAGCAAATATGATTTAATGCACTTTTTTTTCTTGGATATTTAGCTTGTTTCAGTGACTCCAGTATTATTAGGAAGCAGATGGAACTTCTCTCCTGGTATCTTGCCATCCTGACAGAATGATGGATGTGAGCACTTGAAAAATCTTTATCTTATTCTACATTGCTCTTAGATGTTTTTTAGCTCCTGCTTTGAAACTGACACACAGCTTGGCTTACGCTTTTCATGGTACTTCTGTGCTTCGTGCTTTCAGCGGGTTGAACATTACACACAGTCATTCACCTACTACATCTTAGTCTCTTTCTTAGTTTTTTCCCTGTACTTAGATGTAGTACAGTACTTACACACACATCAGAGCTTTCAGACTGCTATAGAAAAAATTGTCTTGTTCGGCTTCAACATACTAATCAAACTTTTCACATATATATGCTACTGTCTCCAACATTCCTTTTCAACTTAGTGTATCATTTTCCTTCTAAGAGGCAAATTTAATTCTGATTGCTGCCTATGTTAAAAACAACTTGATTGGCAGACGAGGGGAGAGCAGTGGATGTCATGCTCAATTCAGCAAGGTTTTGAACACTGTCTACCTCAGCATTCTTGCATCCAAGTTGGGATATTATGGTCTCGATTGCTGGAAAAAGATTAAAGAAAATAGACTGGCTGGATAAGGTGGATCACAGGTTAGAAGAGTTTCAGGCAGGTCTAATAGCCTGCAAGTACCTATGAGGAGGTTATCAAGATGAAAAAGCCAGATCTCTTCACAGCAGCACATAATAGGAGGAGGGGAGACAGATAATTTATGTTGAAACGAGAGATTCAGACAGGATATTGGGAAAAAAATCTTCATCATAAAGATAGTCAAGCACCCCAAAAGGTTGCCAAGAGATGTTGTGCCATCTCCACCCTTGGAGGCTTTTAAGACCTAAATGGATAACGTCCTGAGCAATGTGATCTGCTCTCATAGCTGACCCTGCTTAGAACTAATGACTTTCTGCAATCCCTTCCCACCTGAATTATGGTCCTACAGCACTAAGAGCCCCATATCAAACACAATTTTATTCAGTTTTACTCTCCTGGCCTTTCTAAGCATACATTTAGATTGTTTGTTATAAAATAGAATTTCTGCCATACTGTTACAAAATTCATACAGCAGGTTCTATTCATGCTGGATTAGAGACTGTGCTTATTATTTGGCAGGAATGTATGAGGCAATGTGCAATATGTTGTAGGTCACCAATAGTTTTCACAGTGCCTTGGAGAAACAGCAAAAATTAAAAGAGAGTATAATCCAATTGAGTGTAAGTTTCTGCATGTAGGCAGGAAGAATCAAATGGGAAACACCTAAGTGAGATATGAAGTAATGGTTCTTGAGAACAGTATCTAAAATTAACAACAAACCAAAAGTCAAATATGAATAAAGAAATTCATGCTAACTTTAAGAAATGTAGATCGTACATGTAACACATGTTTGAAGCACAAACCAGAGATGCAGTTCCTCAGACATGAAGAGCTGCTTAAATCCCTTTTCCTTCTAACTCATTCAAGATGTGAATATCCCTGTAAGACAGAACTAAGAAGACACTTGTGGGGCGCTTTTTTTGTGGCATTTTTTTCTATTATTATTTTATTATTTAAAGCTGCCCTGAAGGAATAAAGAATGCAACTATTCTTTTAAACAGTTTGGACTATGTGAATACTAATGGAAAAGGTTGCTTAGAGTTCTTATTAAGTGATTAGTTTTTCCTTTATATTTTTATAGGACCTTCAAAATGACAATATAAATTTAGTGCTATAGCTGTTCATAAACCATTAAGAACAATACAAATATCTTCTATATAAATGGGAAGGTAGACAGTCCTGAAAAATAGTTCTGGTTTGAATGTGAGGAAGTAAATTTATGCAAATTGCTGTCAGTCATCTATGTATTCATTTCACTAGCAAAACAACATTATAAATGATCTATAGCCAACAATTCTTCATTTGAAGACATGTGATGCAAATATTTATTCAAAACAGAAAAAGAAAATCAGTTAAGGATAAGCATAAGTCTTACCACGCCAATAGAAAAGTAGTTATTGATGATGTTGTAAGGCACTGGGTCTCCTTTCTCATCTTTATCATTGGGTATTACTTCGAATTTCCACCTGTCCAGTAAAATCTCTGAGCTATTCTCAATGTCTTTTAAGATCTTCATCAAATTCTCACCTTCATAACCTAGCAAAACATAAAACCAGTTATTTAATCAAGCATAATAAAGTTTCATTACATTTTCTTTCTCCTTCTAGAGAACTGGTTGGACAGGGTTCTGATTTAATTGAAGACGTCCCCGCTCTTTGCAGGGGGAGGTGGTGGTTGGAGTAGATAACTAACCTTTAAAGGTCCCTTCCAACCCAAACTATTCTATGACTCTATGACTAGAAAAATGAAAACTCTGCATATAAGACCCGAGAAGCAGGATTGTCTGATGAAAGCGTGACAAGAGACTGAAAGGTTAAAAGTAATCTACTATTTTTTATGGATTCTTTAAATGTGGTCTAGCATAACAAATCCAAAATTTCAAATCCATAATTGATGACTTATCAGCAAAAATAACATTTTCCATATTTCAACAACCTCTTAATGTGTTTCATCCTGCTCTGTAGAGAAATCTCACTCTTACTCGCCAAGAAGCACTCACGTGTAATTCACTAGTAGTTCACTACATTGTATACTAAACTGAGTAGAAAACTTATTTGCACACTCCTGAGTACACACAACAAGCATGTGTGTATGCATGAAAACTGTAGAGATTTTACTAAGTGACTATCAACTCTGAATACTATTCAGACCAAATGACTTTGTAATAGATAACTAAAATCTGTGGATTCATTCCTTCTTCAAATAAGAAGAAGAATTTTCATATTCAAGCAATATGTATTTCCTGGATCATTAACAGCTTTAGCAGGTAAAACCATTGAAAGCCTCCTTGCTCAAAACCCACTGCTGATGTATTTCTTTATGGTTGTATGGTACACTTTTGCTAGTTACTGCTAACCACTGCATAACAGCAGCGTGCACAATTCCATCTGACTGCATTCTTGAGATCACTCACCAGCAATTTAGTTTCTGGAAGCCCTGTCTCCTCTCCCATCTGTGGAAGTTCCAGAAAATCTGTATTATGGTATTGCTTACCAAAACTGGGCAAAGAATGACGAAAGCCAGAATATTTTCACACTTTTTCTATTTTAGTCCAAACAGAATCACTTAGAACATTAAAAGTGAATGGAGGAACAGCTCCTGACTAATATAATCAAATGCTCTCATAGCTGACCCTGCTTAGAACAGGAGACTGGACTAGGGAACCTGATTATTCTGTGACTAGTCTATGAACTATTGAGAAAGTGAGGCAAGGTTGATTTGATTGGGTTTTGGCTTGTTTGTTTTCCTTTTTTTTCCCCCAAGACTATGAGAATGTAAACAATTCACTCATGACAGAGAAAATGAAGGAGGTCCTCAATTGATTTGACAGAACATTATGGTTAACAGAGAAGTTCTATAGCATGAAAACTACTAAGAATTTGCTAAAGACTCTCTGGTAACAAGGCAGACATTTGGAAAGAAAACTTGGATGAGACAGAAGTAGTAAGCTATCTGCAAAGGCTGAGAACTTTCAAATAAACAGCCAAGTTCCAAATACAGAATATCTTGACTGAAACAACCAAGACCTGAAATAGACCTTGCTATGAGCCCATAAAATGATGTGCTTTCACCCCGGATTGAGTCTTGCCTAAGTCTTTCATCCTTGTGTCTCCTTCAAGTTATCCTGGAATGCAAATTTTAAATAGAAATAAGTTATTGAAGGAGCTGAGAGTAAAGCTCCATACATCCAGGAAAGGATGCAAAGGGTATTAAAGGTTTGACTGTATGTATATTCTTCTTTCAGCATTCTTTACCTTCTCATTTCCTAATAAATAGCATCACAGCACTTCGCGTCTGGAATCTTCTGTAGGAGAACAGAAAGGGAGTGGACCAAAGGAACTAGTCCTAGGCTGAGACACATTTTTCATTTAATATTTTTAAATATTAAAAAAAGATGAAACCACTCCAAACCCACTATTAGCTGTTTTCAGTAACCCTTTCACAACAGTCCCAATTAAAACCCATTTAAGACTACTCCCTTTACAAGGTATTGATCAAATCAATAACTGCAATACAGATGGTAAAAAGCCAACTAAACAGCTATACACTACTCTCATTACACCTTGGAGCCTTTTTGGTGTCAGCAGAAGCTACAAACAGGGTATGAGGAGTGATTAAAACCTTTAATATTTTATATATCTATACAACATTTACAAACAGCTAATTCCAAAAAGAGGAAAGGTGATAATGGTTCATAAAAAAGAAGTCCAAATGTAGACTTGGATGGAAAAGTTATTTTTTCCCGTTTAACTCCATAATACATTATATTGTAATTTGTGTTTACCTCCTCCCCATCTCAGACACCTTGCTAAATCATTGCCGGTCCCAAGAGGCAGTATAGCAACTGGAGGATGCTTAATCAAGTTCGCTTTCTCTGTGAATAAAGAAGAATAAACATAACTAAGGAACTTTGTTAGGTTTTGTTTCAGTGAAAGACACTTTTTGTGTATGAAATTATGCTGCCTCATCAGCAGTGAGCATTTTACCAAGCCAGTCCATTATGCAGCCCTTTCTCCAGTCAATATTCAATCCTTAATCCTAATTTACTTGTTATCAAAAGGATTTTTGTAACCCATAGACAAGCATTCATAAGCAATGATACTCAAGAGCTTTCCAAGACTGAATATGGTGTGCTCTCGCTTGTTCTCAGCTCTGCCATTCCCAGCTACAAATGCAAAAGAGTAATAGTTAAGGGCATGAATAATGAGGTGAACCTTGTAATTTTTAATTTGGGTGACCAAATCTGTGTTTAACCGTGTATTTACCTGGATTTGTGTCTACACGTGAGCACCATTACCAAGAAGTCCTTGGAACTAACACCAGGACTTAGTTGGGTTTGCCCATCAGGAATTAAACCTGCTATTCTAAACAAGCACTGATCTATTTGATCAAGTCTATTTTGTATTTAATAAGTAATGTTTATAAATGCATAAATTTATAGCATCTTTTCAGTCTTTACCAATATTTTTGTAGCATCTTAAGCCCAAGGATCTCTGTTCAAAATCCAGTGGGAAAACCATCACCAAGAAGTGGAAAATTCTTTCTGAAAAGCTGGAATTAGGGGAGCTATCCTCTAGGTATAAAATTTCAAATATAAAATTTGTCAAACAAATAGCATGTCGAGTTTAAAAGTTATATTTGGTTAATCAAACAATCAGTTATTTTGTTCATAGAATAATGCAAAATTATCAGCAATAATCATCAGGAATTTATCTATAAAATGGATGCAGCAGGGACGTCTTGATATTTATCAATACTTTGGAAAGATTTAACATTCACAATATCAGTGTACTGAAAATCTTTAAGAGAATTAAATATTTAATAAAATAATTTAAAAAAAACATTTAAAAGTCTCAAACTGATGAGAATTCTTCCTTCCTTCCTTCCTTCCTTTCTTCCTCCCTTCCATTCTTCCTCCCTCCCTCTTTCCTTCCTTACTTCCTCCCTTACTCTCAGCTAAGACTCTTTGTATATTAGGAGATCTGGGAAGACCAGTCTAGAAAGGATCTAGGAGCAGGTGCTTTCTTACACTTTACATGCCAAAGTGCTTTTGCTCCCTAAAAGGTAGCATTGAAAATCTACTTCCTTATGAAACAGATGAATCCTGGATCCCCCCCAAAATTTCTTAGTTCTGTAACACAGAAATTGCTGCAGAAGACAGTAAGTTATGAAGAAAAAATAGAGTATTTTTGTCCGAATAATGTCACTGAAAGAGAAAGTAACTGCATGACATTTTAGACCTCATGAAAAAGGCGATGACACAATTAAGAGCTGCAAAACTTCACTCCTTCCACATTTAGGCAATACCCCTGATATTTAGGTACATTGATTTATGACTCTGAATGCTATTTGAGAGTTACAATCAGCAGCTTGCATTTGCAAAAAGATTTTTTTTCTCTGACCAAGTTTAGAAATATGCCTTTGCTGTCATTCTTTCATGACAACAGTTTTAATTTTCAGTGAACTTTTAAAAGTTTTCTGGTCCTTCCCCTCCAAAGTACACACTTTTAAACACTCTAGATAAACTTTCAGTTGTGTCTTTTGACCTCTCTTCATCCCCTTCCTAATTTCCATCGTCACATATGCCCGTTTTTTTTCTCTGCAGCCTCTCTAACACCAAATAAATGATGTGGAAGACATTCCCCCTAATAAGCTTTGAGAAGTTTAAGTCTGTAATACCTTGACTTCTGGGCCTTCCTAAAGATTTGTACACAGGACTTTACACACAACTGACTGAAAGAACTCCAAAGCTGAACCATCTCTTAGTACATTATCTCCATTATAGGATAATAGAGCATATACAAAAATTTGGTAAGTGAAAAAGCAAGTGAGCTAAGGTAAATTGTCTTAAAATAACAACTTAGATTTGATTCAATTGGAGAATAGACTCTGAAATGAAATTAGAATAGATTAATTCAAATTTCTTGCTTTCAGGGAACCAAGAGCACTACAAATACTGGACTTCTAGAAATTTTGGATATCTTTTTCAATTTGAATATCCTTTAAAGTAATCATATCCCAAAATAATACATTTCAGAAATTTAAATGAACAAGGTCTTGTTTGAAATAGCTGTATCCATACATTGGTATATAAGGAAGAGCATTAAAAGGAAAACCACGAGTCAAGCACAACTATGCAAATGGTAGAGATTACCTATGCAATCCAAAATCCAGCCTACTGTTCCATCTCCACCACATGCTAGTACTCTGAACTCAGCAACATCTCGGAAAAAATTTAACCTAAAAACAGTAAATGAAGATACCCAATTATGATAAATATATTGTGCATTATGCAAACATTTTATAGTTTGAGACATTTAATTTAATAGTAAATGGCAAGTGAACACGTGAAATAATAATCGCTTCTGCTCATGCCTTCATTTTTTAGACAAATACAATCCAACATTGCATTATCTGAAAAATTTCAAAGTTGATAATTCAATGGTTATTATGGTACGCTAATACTAGAAACCATTTGAACCTGACAGTCAATCCAAAGCTTTGTCTAAGTTCAAATCTTGTTTGAAAGTATTGTCAGAAAATATTATCTGTTCACCTAGTTGTAAATAGATAGGTAGTCTCTCAAGAAAGAAAAGTCTAATTTATCTAAATGTATTAGCCATAACATTTCCTTGTGAAGTTCTAGATATAAAAGTATATGAAAACATCTTATTTCTGGTAGTATACTACTACATATTAAATTGAATATTCTGTAGTTGGTATAAACAACGTTCCATCATTGTTTGATACGAAATGAGAAAGCATCAGATTTAAGACACCCATTTCATCATCCAACCATATTTTTAAAAGTAAAGTATCTTTGGTAGTATTTGCCTGGCTATTTCTGCTTCCATATCCATTGAGTATCACAACCTCATTATCGCCTTCATTCAATACCTATGTCCCATAATGCTGACAAGTGAGTATATATTAAAACAATCCTAAATTGCAATAATTTAAATTTAAAAGCATCTTTTCATGATAGCTTTTGACACATGCTGAAATTAGTCCTTACGAATAAATCGTGACTAGACAGAAAACTTCCAGTAATTTTGTTGAATGACTCTGTGTGTGTGAGTGCATGTGCATATGTACATTCACACACCTTCTATTCATTAGTGTGACAGATATCTTAATGCATATTCTATATTCTAGTGACCAGATCTGATTTCCAGTTTGCAATGTCCTAATAAATGCACAACTAATACATTGTTAAAAATTCTTAAATGTGAATAAATATACATAATAGCTTGCAAGTCTCTAATTCATACTTTTTTCCTTATGAAACTTTAATGTTTCACAGGGAATGGAGTTCCTGTCCCTAGGAAGTCCTAAAAATTCTTCCAGAACTCTTGATAAAATCAAGAACGCTTGAAAAACTACAGAGTAAAAAAGCGAGCAAGAGAGAAGGAAATGAAAAGTACAATGATCAAAAAATTTACATAATATATAGAAGATGACAGGACAACTTCTTGTTTTATTAGTTTTGGATCAGAATTTCAAGGTTAGCAAAGCTACATAGAAATAAGCTCAACAGATGTCCCACTCCCTCTAATTTTCTCTGCTCAGAAGAGCTCTTAGGCAATTTCAAGTGTCAAGTACAATGCCTGAAGGATGCTTACTGGCCCTGCATTAAAGTCTGCTTTACCCTTCTCACCTCTTACATTCCACTTCACACATCTGTAGGAGAAGTGCTATAGGATGTCTTCTGATCCAAAATGTCATGTGCCAGATCTGACTGGGTACACTTGGGGAACATATCTTCTAATAAGCATATGTGCTGAAAGACCCTCTGCTGGAAGTCACCTCCTACCACTGGAAGAGTAGGCACTGAGTTATGTCCTGGCCCACAGGTGTGCATCTCCATCACTTCAAGAGACCTGGCATAGAGACAAACGCCTCCCGTCACCAGCATTCGCACTTCACCCCAATGTGTTGGGTTTGTACAAAGTTATAAGGTTTAATTGCTTCCAATACTGAGGGTATTTCAGCTTAATTTAAAATCGAATTATAGCCCAAAAGTGGTGGCAGGCTACTGATGTCTATAAATATTTAAGCATTTCTACCTTTGTAAAAAACGTCAAAAAGAAAGTCTGGAAAAAACCCAACCAAACAACCAACAAGAACAACACCAAAAGTCCAGGGTTGATCCTAACATTGATCCAGATTGGCAGAACACAGACCTAAACCTCTGTCTCTTTTTATAAACAAGCTTCTTCACCCTATGGTTATCAAACATTCTTTTTATTTTGACTGTATATTTAATCTTCATCAAAAGGGTATAACTTAAAAAAAAAGTGGAGGCTGAAGAATCTGGCAAAACCATATTGTCAAAAAAATTCTCAATAAACTTCATTCATTTTTCCCTTGGAGCACTTTATATCCATAGATAGTGAATTTTCCGAGCAAAGTACAACATTAAGTTCACATAACTTTTCCTTTTCATAAATTTAAATATAAAATATGTACATTATATAAAAATCTAACAGACAAAACAGATAAAAATAATGCATAATATACCTTACATTGTATGTTTGCATATATAAATGCAGTGTATATAAATAAACTATAGCAAATATAAATATTTATAAAATCAAATTACTTTATAAGATTAAATATAGTTATATAATTATATATGTAAATAAATCTCATTCATTGAATTAGAATGTGCAGCCTACATTAATAGTTGGGAAGGGAACATGGTTTTCCATTTTATACAGTTTCATTCAAACTCAGGAACTGTTATAGTTGTAAAGAAAGAATTTGAAATATTTCTTTATAGACCTTCAGGGAAAAAGTACGTATTGCCTACCAAGAAGGTTGTGCTCAATCATTGTTTAACAGCATCTGTCACTTTTTTCTCCACAGGACATTTTTTATGTGGTTTGAAAAGGAAAAAAAAAAACAAAAACAAACTGTTTGAGAACTTAGTAAAGTGGCTTAAAGTGAAACTAAAAAAATTTGGAAGCAATTATAAAGCGTTTTGTGCACCGTCAGACTAAGTTAAAGGACCAGAATACAAACTTAGTCCTATTTTCCTAAAAAAAAAATAAACACTGAAGGTGTTTGATAGCAGCCTATTTTTATTTTATTTTGCCAGAAACAAGGATGCACGCAAAGGCAATTATTGACTTTCTGCTGATAAATCAGTAATTTCCACCTGAAAGTGGGCAACTGTTTAAAATACCTATATTACTCTAGTTCAGTTTTTCATAATCATCTCCCTAAATCCATAGGAATGCAGGAAAATAATTTATGAATAAAACACCAATGCTAGAGGATGTAACTATTTGCTGTTGAATCATGTAATTAATTGATTTATGCACAGATACCACACATACACATTCTTATAGAACTGTTTAAGAAAATCCTACCCCACTCACAGTAAAACTATTTGAAAACGTAAATTGCAATATTTTCCATTTAGATACCTGCACATGACTTTTTCTCTTACGCCCAGAAGCAACGCATTATGCAGAATTTCTGGTCTCAGCCACACGAGGTGGCATAACAACAGCAATGTGTGAAATGATTCAGCCAGTCTTCTTTGCTCATAGTGGAAGCAAAATTTAAAACTGTCAATATTGCAATCAAAGAGTAATCCTCTGATATTTGTATCTCAGGATAAGTATCGGTTGTCAACACTACAGATGTCATAGAAGCAAAAATACTGTTAAACAGCTGTTCAATATATATCTTTAAACTCAGGATTTAAGTTTCATATGTGAAGACCTGCTGAGTTCTAAGTACCACTGATTTATGGTGTACAACAGTAATTTTTATCATTAGAGTACAACCAAATCATCACTGCTGGCTTTGCCATTCTTTTGCAAAAATGTAAGTCTTCCAAGGAAATATGGACCAGATTCAAGATTTCCTTCAGAAGAAAATAATTATGAAGCTATTATCTTCTGAAAACATTCCTGGTGTATATCTCTTCCCAGAATACTCTGGGTATTCCAAATGTCCAACAGCAAAGAAATGCTCCAACAATCAGTTCAAATAATCAAGGAAAATAGTGTAATTTTCAAAATAAGCCTATTGCTTTGTGAAGTTATAAAAGCCCAGGTGCTGTAGATTCCCAACTAAATTACAGCATAAGTTGTAGAGATTCAGTTTTTCTGTCTTGAGCATCTTTTAAATGGGCAGAATTTAAGATTTAAAAAAGCCTGTTGAAGCAAAATTGCAGATAGAATTTAAAAAATACCTGCTCTCCAAATTAAATGCTTAAGGAAGTTACAAAGAAATACAACTTTTGTGGACATAATTTCTATTATAGAGTATAAAACCCCCATAAATTAGACATTTTAAATAATAGACTTTAGGGAACAGGGGCCTTTTCAGAGGGACAAAGCCTTTGTGAAATGCTGACCTCCCTACAGAGTCCTGCGGGTCTGTGGCTCGACTGCTATTCATCCCACTATTATTTACCTCTCTGTGAGGTGAACAATAACTGAATTTCAGATTCTTCAAGATCATTAAATCCACAGTAACAGTTGTTGTCAGAAGTAGAAGACTCCTATAGAGATATAACAACCAAACAGGGAAACTCTTTTCATGGCTAAAAACACAGGTGCTAGGCACAAATTACACAATGCATCAGCCCAGCAATTTTCACATCACTGTGTTAACTGTAGCAGCCTGTAACTGTGGAGTATCTTTTATGCCTGTTCAGCTGCAGAGCTTACAGGGTTTCTCCAGCTCACTCATATTTCTCTACTCCCAGTTAAAGAATGTGTAAAATATTAATTATTATACACATGTTTAAAGTGTACTGTTGCCCTTTGGCCTAGAGCTCCTCGATTTTCAGGCCTCGCAGCAGGTCAGTCTCCATTGCCAGAAAGGAAACAATGCCAGAGTCACTGCCATGAGGTTTATTTGCATCATGGACATATTTTTATATAGAGCATGTACATGAGTCTTGGCATAAACTGCTCCAAAGACCTTAGCTTAGGCATACAAAGAAGCTACAGGAAATGTCTTTGCTGCTGTTCCTGCACTCCAAGTACAAGTACAGTCCCATTTATCATGAAAGTAGGCAACATTCACTTCATTAACTGCACATTCAGATAGTGATACTAAAATTCATTGTCAACTTGTTCAAAATATTTTTCTGTTGACCTGCTACATACCAGCATATCTATTAAAAAAACCCACATTATAACTGGGCTGGGTGGGACTTTTTTGTGTTTTTTGTTTGGGGGTTTTGGGAGCTTTTTGTTGTTGTTGTTGTTGTTGTTTTGGGTTTTGGAGCCCTTTATTCCAACACATTTCCATGAAAGATCATGGTAATCCCACTGCAGAGAAAGAATGACAGGCATAGCAATTGAGCTGTTCAAAAAATCCCCCAAAACAACCCCCCAAAAATACCATCAGTTTCACAGCCCCCCTAAGATTTACAATTTTATTAGTCTCCTAGTTATCTTGTCTTTCTCCCTGCTTTCCAAATAGAAGACATTTAGATTTTTGACAGAAATGAACTGGAAATATCAACTCATGTTAGCCACAGATGTTTGGAACTCAAGTTAGAAAACTTGTGAACGTTATCTTCTAGGTTGATGACAGCAGCCCATGAGAAAAATACCACCAAAAATTAAAAACATTAACTTATGGGTTAAAGCAGACAGCCTGGGTCTACCAAAAAAATGCAAATTCAGCCTACTATAAACATTCTCTAGGTTGAGTAAACATGTCTGAAAATGGTATTCGAAAGAAAAAAAATTCTCAAAATAGACTCCATTAAAATGTATTACAATAATCATAAATGCTTTAAAATATGTTGTGTTTATCCCTTTCTACTAAATAACTAACTAGGATGAGGAATATACTTTAGCTTTTCTCTCTGCTGTACAATATCCAACTCTCTTACATTTTGATCTAAATGACACATATGACAACTTTAAATAAACGTAACATTTTGATTGACAATCCAGCATAATTGGCTTTATAGAGATGGATGAGTGAGCGGACAGATGGATGGCTGGGCAGGTTTTATTAGGTAATACAGCCCTTGCAGAAAAAGAAACAAGTACTGGTAAGTGAAATACCAGAGTATATTCAACTTCTCACTTAAGGGACAAATTACATGCAGCCTACATAGTATTGCCAGGGGCAAGAAGTGATGGCAGGAGATAAACTGGAAATTTAGCATTATTCATTTCTGTGGAATGAATAAAAAATATACCAAAACAAGTAGTGTCTGTTTAAAAATTAATTAGAAATTTCTTCAAAGTGACTGAACTAAAACTATTTCGATTCCTAACAGGAAGAGAAATTGAAAATATTTTCAAAAAAACACTGTCGTGGTTCAAAGGACTAATGTTTAAATTGCTTCAGTGCAAGGTTTCAGCTTGAACTTAACACTGCCCTCTTGTGCCTTTGTCTTAAAATACATTTTTCTTCACATGGGAAGATACATGAAAATGAAGACAGAAATGCAGCCAGATTTTTTTTAAGTTCAATGAAATAAGATGAACTGGAACAATAATATTTCAGTTGTTTTAAAAATCATCATCTCAATCTTTAGCATGGCATCTCTATTATACCGTATGCAAAACAATATTGGTTACTAGTTTTGTCTCAGTTAATTTTAGTCTACTAATTCTTTAGACTAAGACTACTTAAATTTTCCATATGTGTTAAGACTAGTATAAAAACAACAAATATAATTTGATTAATAAAAACAGCACTAGCATTCAGGTAACTGCAGGCATGAAAGAAATCATGCATGTCATTATTTCCATTTTTTGAGCTGGTTTTGCAGCATTCAGCAGTTTGAACCTTCGCCACACTGTAGTGTAAGATATCCTAACTTCTAAAAGGATTGAGCCAAATATGCTTTTCACTTTCATCAGCGCTATACACATCTCAAGTCTAACACAATAAATAGAGAGCTGATATAGCATTGTTTAAAGAAAGAATATTTGTATATTTGGCCTTAAACCCAGAAGTACTGGCAGAAACTGCCAGAGCATACTCAGTAATATATATGCCACAATCGAAACAAAACTTTGCAAGGCACAAAACATGTATGTTTCCACATTTATCTTCTTTTCCTCCAACTTCAAAGAAAAAAAAGTCTAAACAAATAAAAATATATATTTAAAAAGTATTTGAACAATAGAATGTCAGTGAACTTATACCTCCTAATATCCTTCTGTGACTCTTTTGACTGATGTAAAATTTCATATATCAGCGACATAACTAAATAACATCCAATACATACAAAATGATACAGATGTTCAGTGCTGCTCTATCTCTTTTCTTCTACCAAAGCAGCCACTGCTTAAAAGAGAGACAATATCAGGTGGCAAAGGTTGTTATTTGATACACTGTAATTCTCCTGTCTTCATATGAATGCAAATTAGGAAGACTCATGGAGAAAGCAGGTTAAGTGAGTGACTGCAATGTCAGCTGGTTCAGAGAACGCTTCAGTCTCCGACAGCATAACCCAGCCTGGCCAGTCATTTCCCAACCACTACATCACCAAGATTCTGTAATTCATAAGGAGTGTGCAGTCACTGTAACTTGAAACAACAATCTACATCTGACATGTACGAGAATAGATATATATGTACACCATGTATACATATTACAGACACATGTATGTGCACTTGTGTGTCTGTGTAAAAGAACTGGATGTGCTGCAGGTCTTGAGTCTTTGAGGCTGCTTGATATTTATAACATAGAAGTAACTCCCACAGGAACTTAGGTTGCTGATATAGTAGAAATAGAATGAAATTTATCCCACAGTTTTTACAGAGTACTGCATGGTTTTCAGTAAAACATATGAGATGTAGCTTTATTTGTAGATGTAAACAAATAATACCTATACATTTCTGCAGCCATTCAGAGATCTGCAGTGTTGATACATTCCAAACATGCTATATGTACTTCAGTCTGTTCATTTGATTATGTAGCATTTTATTAAATGAGTTCCTGGTAATAATATTAACTGTAGACTTACCCTGGCATTGGTCCATTTCCAGAAAGACTATAAACTTGACGAGGATTTAAAAGGTACTGAAATTTTCTATAAATTCTGAGGAGGTAAAAGATACAAGGAGAAAATATTTACTTACATGTTTGGAATTTTTTTTTAAACCTATCAAATGAAAGAATTAAAGAAGTTAACACATATTAAAATTATTTGAACCGCAGGATCTCGTTTAAACAAAAAAAATCAAATAATTGAACACAGCAATTATAATTCAGATATACAGTGTATTTTGGGGCATAAAATTGAGACAGAAGTGCTACAAGGTATCTAAAATTCAAATACTGCATATAGATAGAAAAAATAGGATAAGGGGGTATAATGACACGAGAAAAGGTGAGTCAAAAAAGCATTTCAAAAAGTGAATTGATTCCTATTAAAGTAACTCCACGGCAAAGGAGAGATTTCTTCCTGAAATTTATTGCTAACACTAAATTACAAGTATAATTAATTGCAAAAGCAAATTGGCTTTGCCACCCATCAAAAATGTCCCCATGGAATGAACAACATTCTGAGAAAGTAAGGCTATGGTCAACTACAATTCCTCAGGATTACATTTAAATGGAAAGAAAATAAAAAATATTTGAAACCACTTTTTAACTTAAATTACACATATTTGAAAATTATCTGAATAATAGGAAGGAATTATTGATACAGCACGAAAAGTATTGTCCTATCCCATAAGGGACCCTTTTTGCTGTCTCACCCTCAGCAAATATTTCCTCAAAACTGTAATTTTAGAAATTTGAGGTTATTTGTCCTGAAAGTATAACAGACATTTTGTTTCTTCATTACAAATATTAGAAATGTAATTTCCTACATTGACTATAATGTGGTAGCTGATTCACTTCTTACAAAGAAACAAAGAGTTGGAGTTCAGAATGAATAAATATATACCTGGGATCTACGGCAATAGTTTAAATTATAAACCCCTCTGTCTTGCCTTTAATTTTAATGTCTCTATCCTTAAGCTAATTAATATTTAAATGTTTTTAAGAAAGCATTAATTTTTCCACTGAAATATTTCTTCCTTTCTATTTAATGGCTTAAATAAAATAGAAGCAAACTAAGAGCTGAATTTTAGGCTAAAATGTCCACATTTTCAAATACAGCACAATAAAACTGTCTAGACACAATCTATGTGCACATTGAGGGATTTTTGTTTTATATTATTTTTTTAAGAGCAATGCATAATTTATCAGTCTAGGTGGAAGACAAGTATGTAAAAATACTGAATACAAACAAATTCATAATTATCTCTAAAATTGCCAAATTGGAACATTTTCTTAACTTTTGAATTATTTAGTGATATCAGCTTCTTCACAAAGCATTTTATTAAAGTACACTCACACAATCTACTCCTGATGCCATTCCTGACAGAAAAAGTCAATATCCTTGCTAGTTTCACTTAGCGAGGATGCACACACCATTGTCAGTGGCTGTGATGATGATTAAATCAGACCTTTGACAATGGATTTACAAAACAATATATATATTTCCATTTGCAGCATATTACCAATGCAAAAGGAGAGTTTTCTAGTTAGTATGTGTAATTTGCTTCTCACAGACATATAGGATTTAACCTGGACAAAGGTGCTGGTAATTTAATTTGTGTAGCTGATCATAAGTTCATGAACACTATTGTTATGAGGTCCCAAAGATTTAAGAGTTATTTGCCTAAAGTTTGGTGCTACAAACATACTAGCCAGTACCTACACTCACAATACTATTGTCAGGTAACAGTGAAATGCTATAAAAGCCTTCTTAATAAAGAGGGCGCCAAGTTTCTCTACTCAAAACCCAGAATTCCAACTGCAGTAATGAAGAGATTACACTGAATCATACTTGACTCAGTGCATACCATTCATAGGTACTAGCTGAACATCAATTCCACCTAATCATTCTATAACGGCACGCTGCAAATGACACCTCAAGCTTTAAGTTATTATAATTCATTTATGTATTCTAATATGTGTAAAATTAATAAATTGATGGTTTGGTTCCATTCATACATTCTACCAAAAAAAGAGGAAGACACCATCTATAAATGTTTGCCTTCACAGTAAACTGTAACTAGACCTACAGGGTGCCATGTGCAAGCCCAGGAAATGGACAATATTTGAGCGTGGGTTTACATCTACAGTAGCAAACAACCTACTGAAACTGAGATGGCTCCCCATGTCTTTCTTTCACATGTAAGGAGGGAATTGGATGTGGTTTGCTTGTGACTAGATATTTGTGCTGACAAGGCCATGAGGAGGTGTGACGGGAAATGCCCCAAAAGACATTTTTGTGATGGAGTGCATTTCAATGAACAAAGGCAGTTCATGAAATTACCACTTGTCAACAAACAGTTGTGCTTCTGTAACCACTTTTGGGGTTATTCTGTGATCTGGAAAACTAGATAGATTCAATTTAAAACACAAATCCTTGGAAAAGTTTCTTCATTGTCATTTTTCCCTTCACTAAAATCATGCCCATGATCTCATATAAACCTCAAAATACTCCACACTAGTATAACTGAGGAGGCAGAAAATTACATCAGGAGTGGCCAAAGGGGCTGGGATTATTGGCTTTTAACAGCCTTGTTGCTGAAGAAAATACTTTTGAGTGCACCTTAGGCTGAGTTAGACTGAGCTGTCTTCTAAAGTGGCAATTCAAAACTGGCATGAAATTGTCTACACTGCGGAAAAAGTTGACCATTGCAGTAACTTGTGCCACAACTGGGGGATTCAGTCATCCAGGGGCTGACTATTCAAGATCTGGTCACTATAGGCTTACTTTAACCCTAAATTCAGAGAAGAAAGGACTCCTCCCCAAAATTAAAAGAATACTAGTGATCTGCTCTTCCAGACATACAAAGTTTGAAAAAGACAATTTGAAACAGCTTTTACATTTTGTCTCAATGCTAAATGAAAGCTCAGAAAGCCAGATTAATCAGAGGGTAGGAGGGAAGAGCTACTATCAACCAAAGTTATTTGAAAACAGCAAAGGTTAAAGATATCAACCTGTACTGCACAGACACTGAATGTGGAGTCAGCAGGAAACACCAGTGTACGGAAGTTGATCTACAGTGCATCCAACCGCACATTTGTCAAGGAAACAATTGTTTAAACTCACCTGCTGGTCAGGCAAATAAACTGGAAAAGTGAGAAGTGGAAATCAAAGTAATGAGTATGGCAAAACAACAGCATGATTTAGAAGGACTCTTATGTGAGAAACATTACCCTTAACAACGGCCTTTAGATGCACTATATATTCTTTGTATATTCTTTCTGTTGAAAGAAACTATTTTGTCAGTGATGTACTAAATATGTACATTCTATTCACAGATTATTGAAAATTGTTGCCTTGATTAGTCAGATTGTAAGTGCAGACATCCTGCATTGATAGGATGAAATGCATGTCCTGCCATTTTTTTCATGCACAATCATGTACAATCACTGAAAACATGTTACAGTTTGATGTAGCCTGAGGAACACACTTGACTGCGTTTGATGAACTCCTGTCCAATCTCATGCTTGGTTAAAATGTATTTCTGGTAAGTGAAAGGCTTAAACTATTCAACTTCAATTCTATTTTTCTACTTTCTTCTTAATAAACATTGACTTATATTTTTGTTATATTGTAAACATATGTATTGTCTATTGAACAAAATAATTTAAGACCAAATCACTGTAAATAAAGTTTTGTTTCACATGATGGGCAATAAATGTTAACCTCTCAGTCAAGAAGAAAGTATAAATGGGTTATTGTTATAGTTCTTTGTTTTGCAAATACCATTGGTCTTTAAAACAGAAACCTATTCAGGAATAACATGCTATTTATCACTACACATTCTGCAAAACTCTCACTTTCTAATGGAATCAATGTTTTAAAATTTATTGATAAAGTCACTAGACATGATTTTACAGAATGTATTTTTTATTTTCTGAATGCACTTTTTCCACACATCCATTCGTTTCCCACCATAACTGTTCCAACATTCAAAAACTAAAACTAAAGTACCTAACTTTTTTTACCTTAAAGTGATCCTCAGTTCTTTTCCTTTGCATTTGAGAGATTTGAAAAAAATTACAAAATACAAAAGGAAATGGCAGAGTATTACTGGGGGAGTGTATTTACTCAATTGGTTATCACATGGATGCATACACTCTCTCCAAGTCTAAGGGCAATGAAATGGGCTGGGTTACCATATGGCAAGGCATAAAATCTCATACAGGGAACTGTGGGAACACTAGAGTCTTGACAGTCTGCAATAACCTTTCTGTGTTCAATGAAAGTCAATTAGAAATCATAACTTTATTCATCATGACCTCTCAAATACAGAAAATCGTAAGTAAAGACAGACGAATAGCTTTTGTTAAAAGATTGCCTTAATCCAAATGAGTCAAAATAATGAAAATTTCTCATCTACAAAAATTAGAATGTTGTGGGCTAGGTTTGTTTTATTTTTTTTGCTTTCACTACTGTGGAAATCTTACTTTTGTTACAGTTTATCCTCTACTTCTAGCCTCTCAATACCTGACCAAATTACAGAATTGCTATAATCAAAAAACTTGACTTGTATCACCGTAACTATGCATTTTGCAAAGTAATTTATGTCTTCAAATGTCCTGTGATTTTACTTTCCACAACATATAACTGGCACAAAATTGGAAGGCAGGAAAAATATAGGATTCCTCTCTTTCTGGTTACTGACTGTAAAGCAGAGAAAAGTCAAAAAGTTAAATATTATCGTTCCCTGAGAAAGTTTTTATCCCTTAGATTAAATATTCAAACTGATATGCACTCCTAACATCTTCATTTTATAATTTTGTTACTGGTATTGATATGAAACATTAACACCTAAAAGACAGGGGGGGAACCCCCTTCTCACTAAATAGTCCATATGTGGACTTTTTTAACCTTTTTGAATCTGCCTTTAGATTTAACCATGAGATATTATCTCCTGCTGGTGAATGACCTGAGATATGTTTACATGACCATGCAGTTGACCTTTAGATGTGCTTCCCTTAACACACAAATATTGAGCACAACCTCGA